AAAACCCAAAAAAAAAAAAAAAAAAAAAAAAAAAAAAAAAAAGACTATTTTAGTTAACTAATATAGTGGTGTCATACAATATTTGTCCTTTTGTGTCTGGCTTATTTTACTTACCAATGTCTTCAAGATTCATCCATGTTTTACAGGAATCAGAATTTCGTTGCTTTTCACAGTTGAGTAATATCTCATTATATATCTTATATATCTATCACATATGTATAATATCATATATATCATATTTGTTTATCCATTTATCTGTATATAGTTATTTGAATTGTTTCCACCTCATGGAAATTATGAATAATGCTGTTGTGAGCGCTGGTACACCAGGGTTCTAAATTTATAACAGAGATAGTAATATTTCTAACATTTTTCTGATTTTTCACATGAGCTTGAAATAGTCTTCCTTTTTCATTCCAGGCTACCACTATTCTATGCTCTGAGAAAACAACATTATAGTAATGATCCTTGAGATTTAGAAGAATATGTAGTATTTCCAAAGGTCACTTCTGACTTCACCACAATAGCAACAGGGAAGAAAAGTTAGGAATAATAATGTAGAGACAATTCTGATTCGATTTTTCTTTCAAAACATATTTTCATAAATATACCAAACATAAGCCGTGGTGATTTGTTACTTGGTGAAGTGCTAAAAATGGGCAAGCTGAATGGGTTCCTTTTCCATTGAGGTGAGACATAGCCATATCATTCATTTGCTAGTATGTGTGTCAATTTTGTGTCAACTTGGCTAGACTATGATACCCAGTTGTTTGGTCAAGCACTAGAGTAGATTTTACTATGAAGATGTTTGTGGATGAGACTGACATTCTTAATCATTTACTTTGAATAAAACAGATTAGCTACTATAATATGGGTAGGGTTTATGAAATCAGTTGGAAGCTTTAGGAGAAAATGATGAGGTTTCTCGAAGAAGAAGCAATTTTCCCTCATGGTTGTAACATAAAAGTCCTTCCCAAGTTTCTAGCTTGCTGATCTGCCCTCCGGACTTTGACCCAGCAGTATTCACAATCATATAAGCCAGTTTTTAAAATAAATCTCTTTCTTTCTCTATGTACTGCTGGTGTTATTTCACTGGAGAAGCCTAACTAACATAGTGGCCAAACTAAAGCCCAGAAAAATTACTAATTTTCCTAATGTCATTTAGTAAATTGTAGTAAGGCTGGTGATAGAAATCTGGGAAAATTGGGCCACAAAATATTTCCAAAACACTAATTCCACAGCCAGGAAAGAAATTTGGAACTATTAGGTTTCATACTTGAGGTAATGATTGATGCTAAACCAATACATTAAAAAAATCCTTAAATTCCCTGAAAATAAAAGAGATGGGGTTATGTGCTTTATCAAAAGGTAGCACATGGTTATTTATAAAGGAAATTTTCTTCAACATTTAAGGTGATTTAGATTTTTAAAAACATGTTTTATAAACTTTTTGGGACACATAAGCTCAGAACATTTGAAGAGGCTATATTCCTAAAATGTACCATATTAAAAAATATTCCCCATATTCAATAATTATTTCATCCTCTAGAACAACAATATTTTAAAAGGCAAGGGCTATCTAAAAAAGTCCAAGAGAGGTAAAGACACATAGCCTGTGATTTCAATAAATATATACACATTTTCTTCTGGAAGTTTCACCACAAATCTTGGAGTTATTAACATTTTATAATGGAGAAAATGGGAGCTGATACCAACTAGATGATTTGCTTAAACTGTTCAGAACCAGAGTATCTAACTCCCAGGTTAGTACTTTGCTGTATAATTGTTTCCGGAGAGCACTGGTGTTAGCTACAAGAGTGGTGATTACAAGTCTATTGACCAAGAATCTTATACTGAGCAAAATTCTCATTCTAATTAAAAGGATATGTGGGTTCTGCTGTGTTAGCATGAATATTAAGATTTGCTTGGGGGAAAAAATCCCATGTATTCCATTCTCATCCCTAAAGATAACCCTAACATGTCTGCTTAAACCTATGAACTGATTTTACAAGGAGAATGGTAAGTTTGGTAGAAAGGATAAGGCATCATTTCTCCTCTCTCCTCCTTCCTACAGTGTTCCCAATTGACAGTGAATATCTTTTGGTCTCACTATCCTTATATAAAATAAGTAGGCTCTGGAGTTTTGAAAAACATGTGAAATAGGTTTATTGAACTGAATTGATTATTCTTATATTTCATAGCTCTGTCTCTTTGTTTTTTATTTCTCCAACCTAATAGCATTTCTTTTAGGAAAAGAATAATTTACATGCTACTGTGTGAAAGAGTGTATCTCCAGTCCCTAGGCTGCAAAGGCCCAGCATACTTTTGGTTCGTCTAATATATCCAACTTACCACTCTGCTAGTCACTTTTAAAAGACTTGCCCTCTCTCCTTTTTCTCATTTGAGAGCAGGAAGACCCAGACAGTTTTTTGGAAGCTCAATGAGTGATTTCTCTTGAGAGAGGTACATCTTTCTCAGCTGCCAAGGAATGAAAATTCAATCACATAGATCACTTTGGATGCCAAATACATCCCAGCAAATGGTACTGACAACAATTAGAGCATGTTGTTGGGAGATGTAGTGGTTTTCTTTCATTATTAGGCTTCAGTCTTGCCCCGAATGCCATAAAAGCAGAGAGGATGTAGGCTGCTTCCTCCATAGAAATGGATTTCTCTGGACATGGTTCAATGTTTCTTTACTATGAAAGCCTGGAGCAGGGCACCAAGGGTTAATTAGAAGCACCTAGAATTTTCTGCCTATCCCTGAAACATTTATTAGCTATTTAAAAAAGTAGGCAAAGTGGTGAACAAGGACCACCATTTTGTATAAGCAGGGCTCTGGGCCCCACCGAGGAAAGGCATAACCTGTTGTTGTAGCGTACAAAAAGCAGTCCTCCCTGGTAAGAACGGAAAGTCCTGAAAGCCAGCGTTCAAGTCTGCTACTCGGGAGGCAATAACATCTCAAAGTCTACTAGGATTTTAGCTTCAGCCTCCAGACTGCCTTTCATACAGTGGAGACCAGGAAGTCCCACCAAAAGACAGGGCAAGAATATGAAAAAAGCAGCTTGGTGAATCAAGTTTTTAAAAACACAAGAGTAAGAATAAGAAGCCAAGGAAAGCCGCAGAATGGCAATGAAAGGCAGAGACACCTAGGAGGGTTAAGGCTGAAGGAGGGAGGCGGGAGGGAGGGGAAGGCAGACACTGGAGCGCGGACGTCAGGAACAAAAGCTCCGGTGGAGTCTGGCGGAGGCACTCCGGGAGCATGGGGTGTTTTGAATAATTATTAAAATTAGCATGTGTCTGCGCCATCCTGTGGGTGTGGCGCAGAGCGGAGTGTAAACTCTAGCTGGGGCTCAAGCAAACATTGGATTGGCGGCAGCAGCCTGCCAGCTTGCCTGCCTGCCCGAGGAGTGCGGGGACCAGCTCGCGCCGCCGACCTGCACGATGGCCTCGTCTCAGGGGAGAAACGAGCTGAAATTCGCCGACTGGATGGCAACTCTGCCGGAGAGCATCCACAGCATCCCCCTCACCAATTTGGCCATCCCAGGTAGGCGCTGGGCGCCCGCTCCCTCTGCCCCGCCCTGCTTTATCCGCCACTAAGTGGGAACTTGCGGCGATGCCCGCGGGAGGGAAACTCGCCTTCTGGGGTGGGTCGCGGGCCAAGCCGGCGTTTTCTAAACCTCTAGGGACGGTGGCGCCAGGAGTCAAGGTGACCGCTTTCCGCGGGGTCCTAGAAGCAAGCTGTCCGTGGGCGCAGGGCTGGGGCAGGGAAGAAGCCGGGCTCTCGGATGGAGCCCCGGGCCCCCTCCAGAGGTTCGCCCTGCAGTTTGGGGGATTGGGAGGCAGGTTTCTGAATTGATGGGGTGACAGTGCGCGGCGAGTGCGAGCTGGTGTCCTAAGTCTCGGCGTCCTCCCGAGGATCTCCGGACCATCCCTGGCATGGAATTGAGCACATTTGATAGGTAATGGGGTGAAACCTTCTCCAGTCCTTAAGATTCGTCCTCAGTCTCCTTTAAAGAGACAAAGCGCTTCCCGAAGTGTGATGAAAGTTCAGGGACAGGCACTGTGAGATGTCTGCCCTTGACGCGAAGCTGAAGGGGCGAGGAGCAGAGGTCAGCGTTTCCCTGATCGTGTGGACTCGGAGGGCCAGGCCGAGTGGCCACGGTCTGGCGCCTGGTCCAAGTGCGTGTCAGCAACGTTAGGCTGCGGGTCAGGAAAGAAAACCATTCCCGACTCTGCGTTTGCTGCTCAGAACAGATGGGAAAGGAAACCTGCGTGATAAGGGACGTTGGGGTAAGATTATTGGGCGAAAGGTGGGGAAAAGGCGATGGAGCTGGTGTCAGGACGGCCTAGAAGCAAGAAACATGCATGGTTATCAAGAGACTTCAGCATGGCACTCGCGACTTGGACCAGAAGACTAGGCAGGTTTCCCGGGGCTGAGTGCGCAGCAGCCCTTAGCTCAGTTACACCGGACAGGACTATTTACAAAGGACAGCTAGGGACAGGATTCAAGTTCCTTACCAATTAAACTACACCCGGGCTGAAGGAGAACACACCTGATCCTTCCCGGACCAGATTGGAGGGCAGACTACTGATGGGTAGTCCACCTCCCATCCAGAGCAGAAATGGGTTATTAAGTTCAACCTCTTGTCTCTCTTCTCTTGCTCTGACCCATCCAGTGCCCTATCTGAGTCACTTGGGGAAAACAATGAAAAAGAAAAAGAAGAAGAAAAAAAAAAAAAAAGGAAAAAATCCCCCTTTCCCCCAAACAAAAACCTATTCCTGAAAACCTCAAGGAAGGACCCTGGAATTGGGCAGTAACTAGTCAAGGGTTGCTAGTTAAGTGGCTATTAGGTTAAGATGACAGGCACACGCAGCCCTGTGAGCACCTTCCCCAGAAAGGATTGTCTCTTTTTGCCCTTCTAGAATAGGTAACTTCCCAAGGGCCCAGAGGTCTCCAAAGAAAAGAACAACATAGCTTCTCCACTCTGCACTTACCCTGCTATCTGGGGATTGCTCTTTTGAAGGAGACAGTAGAAACTACACAACTTTGCTGGCAAAAATTCCACTCTCAAATCCACAGACATCTCCATTTCTATTCTTCCTTAGTTTTTATATGGCTTTTAGACAGTTATTTTCATGTAATTTGTATACAAATTTTGTATACACAGAGAAAGTAAGGACAAGGACTGGGATGGAATTTAAAAGCCAAAATTGGCATAGCTAGTTCTGAGAGATAATAGGATGCTGTGCCTGACTCTACCTTACATTTCTGAATCACATCACATTTCAAAGCCCTGTTAATGTGTGCCAGCTAGTATCCTTCCAAAAACCTTGTGAGGTATACTTTTATCTTCATTTCATAGATTTTAAAAATCCAGAAACTCAATGTAGATAAATGAACCACAATCACTTTAGTGATCTAACCTCTAAACTGAACTTTCCAGAAGATCTACTAAACATTTTGGAGGGAGAGGCTTTAGGATTTGTGTCTGGATGATTCTGCAGCAAGTTCCAACCCGGGTGAGGAGACAAGAGACTGAACATTACTAGCCACAGGATACTTTTCCTTTTTTTCCCATTGGACAAACTGGACATGGGGTCAGCAATTTTGATATTCTGGTTGTCTTTGTGTAGAGACATAACGATGATTGCATTAGGATGCCATAGGAATTTCCATTGCATTCCCATTGCCTGTGAATAGAATATCCAAAGTGAATCCCCTTCAGAGCCTCCCATTTTCACTTCAAGACTTCTGAGAAACACACATACACACACACACAAGCACACACACTGCACATCACCAAATCTATATGCCTTCATGCCCCCATGATTCTGTAATGGAGATTTGGTAGATCCATATACAGTATATGCAAGTAGGATTAAAAATATAGTTGGCACTTTTCTGATTTAACACTTGAATTTTTGGAGGAATAGCTCACATTCAAACTTTGATAGTCAGAGAAGGCTAATTGGAGACTATTAAACACTAATGGAATAATTGCCTTAAAATCATGCTAATAGCTTCCTGGCTGCTACATGTTTACTTGGCCAGTTGCTACAGCTTGAATTAAGCAATTATCCCTACCATTTAAAATCACGCCTGGTGCACCGCACAAGTGTGTCTATGGAGGGAAGCTACTGCTCAGTCATCCTCAAAGTTTCAAGATTTTTTAGGTAGAAAGCTAAGAGAATGAAGATCTGCTTAATTACGAGGCCACCTACTTGAGGGCAGCTGACCCAAATTATGTAGGACTACCTGAAAAAACAGTCTGCATTTGTGTGATATTTCCTACCATGTGTGCAGTTCATTAAATGTTTCTCATGTCTGCATCTTGAATGTTTTCAGAATCAATTCTTTCATTGCTATTTTGCATGAAATAGCTTCATGATTTGATATTGACTGGGCTGAGGAATTGGTTAGTAACGGTATTAGTAATTTTACTTTTATATTTCAAAGGAATGATACTGCCAGAACACATTGACTGCTACTCAAATTTTTGCCTTGTTTATCATTTCTTTCTCTCTCTGATAGAACCACACTAAAATTTCTTTCATGCATATCTAACAAGGCATTTTGGGTTTATAAATCTGTGTACTCTCTCCAGGAACAGGGGAGAGAAGTTAGACAGGAGAAAGACAAAGTATTAAATATAGGTAAAGGTGGGTCTGATGAGTATTTGGCATCTTTGAAGTTCCATTTCAATATTCATGGTGGCTCCAGAACTTGTGGAAAGGGATCTGTCATGGGAACAAGAAAGGTGTTGATAATCTGGGTCCATGACAATGAGTTGTTCTGCACAAAATTGAAAAGACTGAAAAGAGTTTTCTTCATGGGAGGGATCATCTATGCATTTTCTGATATGTAATGAAGCTCATTTACACATAAGGCAGCAAACTGACTCCACAATGATGAAAAATTGGTCAAGTGTTGGGGGAATGGAACTTCAGAGACAATGTATTTTTCCTTGAACAGGGCATTGTTGATTGTACTTTATACAAGCAATACAGAAAAGCTTTATTACTTGAAGATTATACCTGTGAATTTTGTTATTTTCCTCTAGAAAACATCAATGCCGATGAAAAAGAACACTTACATAGGAAAGTGAGGGCATTTATACAACTGATTTCTGTGGTTTTGCTTAATTCTGTTTCATGCTGAGGGTCAAGCTTGGGGCCTTTTACATGCCAGGAAAGTGTTGTACCACTAAGTTACACTTTCTGTCCTTTTTAGTTTGTAATTTCTTTCCTCACAATCATCTCTTCTTGTTCCCACTGTTCCTAAAGCCACCTATCTTCTTCTCCTTGTAATTTAATATTTCTGTTTTAATTGGAATGAGACAATCTATAGGGTGTATTTAGGAGTAAGTCTAAATGAACCAACTCCCCCCCAAAAAAAAAGGATTTAAAAAACATTTTTATTTGGGGTAGTGTTACAGAAGTTAATCTTTCAAGGCATCCAAATCACAACAAAATTGTTTAATATGAATATCATTTTTGCATTCTTTCCAATTCCCAGTTTTGTTTTGCTTTTGCTAAAAAAAAATAAGAAAAGAAAAAAGTTAAAACTATATTGGGGTTCAGACTTTTAAAAATGTTTAATTGATACATCAAATTTGTGCATATTTATGTGGTATTTCAATACATATATATATATATATGTATATATTGCATAATGTTCAAATTAGGTTAAACTTATCTTCTCAAATGTTTATCATTTCTTTGTAATGAAAATTTCCACAGCCTTTTCTTTTAGCTCTTTCGAGATGTACAGTACATTATCAATATCCATAGTCACCCTGTGTCAGTGATGGTGAATCTTTTAAAGTCCGAGTGGCTCCAAAGCATGCACATGGGTTCTTTGTGCACTGTTATCTGATGTTCAGCTACTGGGGTACTGATGGAGTAACTTAGGCCACCTGTCAACAGAGCAGGCTCCGTATGCCCACTGTGGCACACTGCATGTAGGCTCGCCACTACTGCCCTATGTGCAGTAGAACATGAGAAGTTATTCCTCCTATTTAACTATAAGTTAGTACCTGATGAATACTGTTTTTCTATCCCTTGCTTCTCTCTACTCTCCCATAAAGAATTTCTGAAACACAATTTGTTCTACTTGGAATTTTTCTTAAAAATTTAAATTGAGTCCCTAACTATTGTCAATCAGTGTAAAGTGATATATATCTTAATATTTACAAAGTATGTTTTTTCATATAGTCTGCCAATGATCCGCAAAACTTTTTCTACTCAAAGTTGGTCCAACAACCAGTAATATCTACACACATGGGTAGAAATGCAGAATCTCATATCCTACACCTCAGATTTACTTAATTAGAACCTACCTTTTAACAGGATCCCTAGGTATTTCATATGCACATTTGAAGTCCTAGAAAAACTGCTTTGGTGTACCTCTAAGGGGAAACTTTATGTAAATGGAAGAGCCAAATTTAAATAAGTACCTTACTACGGGGCTTTTTCTCTTGGGCCATCCATTCTATTCATGAGTGTTCAAAGTTACAGTGAGGCTTAAAGCCAGAATCCTATGTT